AAAGAAAGGAATAAAAAATGAGAACAGAATCTTAATTATTACGTTGTTGATTAGCAGGAGAGAGAAGTGAAGCAGGGAGAGAGAATGAGTTAAGAGAAAGTGATATGATCACACTAGAACAGCAGCATTGAACGTGAGCAGAAATACTGATCAGAGAAATATGGGTAACTTAATGTAACATACAGCAGGAACTGAGTAGGAGGTTGGAGCACCAAAACCTACTGCCATCAAGTTGATTTTAACTCATAGCAGTTCCTTAGGACAGAAAGCCATTGAATGTAGACTTAAGAACAAGTGGTAAACAAAAAAAGAGGAAAGAGAAAAATAACATGTTGATAGGAGGAGTCATGGAAGATTGTTATTTTTGTTTGTTTTTAGAGAAAGGAAAACCTAAATCAGTTTGCAGATTGAGCAGGAGAGCCCAATGGAGAAGAGGTGATGAGAAAAATTGAGGAGGAGACAAAATAAGAAGCAGTCACAGAGGTAGGCATGGTATGGTTGTCAAAGGTTAGGAGGTAGATGAAAAAAAAAAGGAAGGCTACCTACTTTCATGGGATAGGAAGAGAAAAGTAAATCAAAGTTCTATGCAGAATACAATGTCAGATATCATTGTGTAGCCCATTCCTACCAAGTTAACCTAACTTTACCATTTCAATTGGATAGGGTTATTGTCACTGATACAGTTACCTCCCACCCCCATCTAGATAGCTCTCAATGTAGAAACATTCTTTTGATACTTCAGTATCTTTCTTCATCCTTTCCTACTCACCTGTTTCCTCACCATCCCCACAGATACAGAAACATTGGATATGTATAGATGCTTAACTAGTAGACTCTCTGTTCCTGGAAGGTAATTGTAAAGACTGTTTTAGATGTTGGATAGTTTCTAAACATGCTGTTATGCTTGGTTTTCTCAGCAGGACTGAGAATGTATGATGGTAGAAAATAATGACTGCCTTTTGGAAGCAACAGCTCAGTACTGTTGCAAAAACGACAAGGAGGCCACATGTTCTGACCTCCTCTAACCCTACAAGAGGAAGACAGGATTACCAGCAGTAACTCAAGGTCTATTCCTGCCAGGCCAGATATGCTGCCTCCCTCCAGCCCTTTCACCAACCGTTTCTCCCAAAGCACCCACCACCTCTCCTGGGTTCGATAATTTGCTGCAGTAGCCACACAGAGCTCACAGATTACAGGGTTTATTAGGGAAGCACCAGGCTACAACTCAAGTTCAGGAAGAACGCTCAGTCTCTCTCCCAGCCCACTGCCCCTCAGCCAACAGTCTCTCACAGTCTCTTTCCCAGCAGGGCTGGTCCCTCAGTGTCTCACTCAGCAATGCATGTCTCTTGAGTCTCTTTCCCAGCAACGCGTGTCTCAGGAGCCCGTGTCTCTTTCAGTAGCACGTCTTCCGCGACCAGCAGTCAGAGAGAGTTCTGCTTCCAGGAGGTCTCCTTTTGAGCCCGGCAGGGTGGTCAAACTAGCCATTCATAGCATCAGAACTCTAAGCACCTGAGAGAAAGTGGGCACCTCCCAGAACATTGTTTTGTGCCACTCCCACCAGAAATACTCCAGGTGGATAACTTCAGCAATCAAGAGCTCCTCAGTTGCTCATAGAAAATCCCACCTTGGCGTTTACAAAGACTTATGGGTAAAAAAGCCACACAAAGTAATTTACTATACCACAACTGTTATGGTCCATCTTCTGTCCAGTTGGATTACTTGTTATATAAGGATAAAGATGTTAATATACCTCTTTCAAGGTATAGGCTTTGATACTAGATCTAAGCTCTAAATATACTTTTCTAAACCACTTACTTCTCAATTATTATTGAGCATTAAATTGCTTTATTTAGAAATAATTAACAAGAGTTGTAAAAATACTATTTATCTGCTCATGTTTAGGTTTTTCCTTTTTGTTGTTGGGATATGTTTTCAGCAGAGATGCACAAATCAGATATCTTAATGTAATTATGATATTAAAGGTTAAAACAATTTTTTTTCTCAATCTAATTTTTATACTGTATTTTACAATAAAAACAAAATTTTTTTGACTTTCCTTTTTGTAAGGGTCTGCCTAACTCAGGAAAAACAAACTATCTTCACTCTGTTCATATATCATGACTGACAGCCTGATAATCTTCAATTCAGTATTTGGCTATAGAATGATTTTTGGCAGCATCACAGATAGTGATAGATATGAAACAGATTTTCTTCCTTTTCTATCATGACCTCCATGATAGAAAATTAGATTGACTTTAGATTGATTACAGAAAAAATAACATACCTTGAAAAACTGTTGTTCTTTCTCTGGTAAAATGCCCTGGAGTATTAACTTAGAAATAAGATATGTTAAACTTCTACTACAGTGGTACTATTTCAACCACAAGGATTAAATTTCTGAAAACTCCTACAGTAGGAGAATTTTTGATTGAAGAACTTCAGAGTCCTTATGGGGGAAATACATTTAGACATAAAGTCAATGTACAAAATTAATAGATTGTCAATGGCATGTTACTTATCTTGAGTAATAATGAGTATAGTTACCATTTCTTGTTTTATGCTTTCAAGAGTTTTATCTTCCCCAAAGTTTCATAGTTTACATTTTTCAAGTGTAGCCCTTTATATACCTGTCTGTTGTTGTTGTTGTTCGGTGCCATCGAGTTAGCTCCAACTTGTAGTGACCCCGTGCACTACAGAATGAAACACTGCCCAGTCCTATGCCATCCTCACAGTCCTTGGTGTACTTGCGCCCATCATTGCAGCCACTGTGTCAGTCCATCTTGTGGAGGATCTTCCCCGTTTTCACTGATCCTCTGTTTTGCCAAGCATGATATCCTTCTCCAGGATAAAAATAATAATAATAAAATAATAATTATTTTTCAAGCCCCCTTTTCTACACTCAAGCACACAAAGTCAGACTTCTTATACACATACATCTCAGCTCTCACTTTTTATAGATACTGCTATTTCCCCAAACTTAAAATTCAAAGACGTTATTGTAGTAGCTTCACATCTACAACATTCACAGTATACCTTATTTGCTAATGCTTAGGGTGTATGTATGTGTGTGTGTGCATGTGTGTACTTATTTAGTATTATATAGTTATATTCTAAGATCTCTGGATAACAGAAACAGTTTGCACTGAGATGCTAACCCAGAGCTTGGTGGTTTGAACCCCCTAGTGGCACTGTAGAAGAAAGGCCTGATGATTTGGTTCTGTCAGGATCATAGCCAAGAGAACCCTATGGAGCAGTTCTTGTCTAACACATGGGGTCACTATGAGTTGGAATGTACTTGCCAATAACAGAATTTTTTTTTTTTTTTTAAGTTATAATCTGGCATTTTGTCACTTCATTAACTCTGTGGTTAAACTCTTCTAACATTACTGCCACCTTCATAGCCAAGTGTTAGGGTGGATACATCCTGCAAAGTTTAGCCAACTTGCTTGTTTTATCAACTTAATAACATGATCTCCAGATACTAGTGTATCTATCTTCATCCTCACCAGATAAGATTTATAAATATGTTATACGTACATAATATTGAAGTAAACATACCTTGTCCTAGTGTTAAATTAATGTGGTGAAACTGTGAAAGAGCACATGAGTCTTAGGTATCCATGGGCTTTGGATATAAACTTTGAACTTCAGAAGGTCTGCTTTAGCAACCTCTTGGGAGTCATTTATTTCATTTACTGTAGTTAAGTAATATGCATTTCTTTCTTTTTCCAAGTTCCAGAGATTTATTGTTCAGTGTAAACCCCAACACAATACACCAACATGATTTCATGCTTTTAGGAAAGAAATATGTCCTGGTTAAGTGGGAAATTGTGTGGATAGCTTTTGAAAGACCTTTGTTCTAAGTAGCTTTATATGAAAACATTTCATTTAGAAGTCAAGGCTTGCTTTCTTCAGTTTGCTGTAATCCACATTCACTGAGTGGAACTTGTTTTGATCATTGAGACCCAGTTTCTTCCATGGTTCTGAGTAATTCTCTCTGTCTCAACTTATATCTGGATTAAACAAATAATGCCAGACATAAGACACACAGTGCTGCTCCTTTACCTCCAGCTCCAGTAAAAATATTGAGAGGAATCAAGGCTCAGGTGCTCCTTGGCCTGACGAAATATCTAGCAGAGCATGTTTGTGGCAGAAACCTTGGGTCCCAAAGGATAGAACAAAGTTGGCAGGCCCAGGACCTAGTACTCTCTGCACCATGTATCAGTAATATCTATTTTGTTACCAATTTTCTTTAGTCTGGAGTCTCCTTATAGTTCAAATAAACAGAAAGGTTTTACCTTATTTTCATTCATGGATAGAACATCATTTTGACAATGATTGCTGTCTATGTTGGTACAAGCATCTAAGATGCAGGACTTAAAGTGTTGCTCTTTCACATTGTCAGTGACACTTGCCATTTGTGATCATATGATAATGATGCAGACCTTTCATTCCTTTTGAGGCTCTTTCTCTAGACCGGTACCATTTCTTCTGAACTGCCCTCTTTTCCCCCTCATGCCAACTTGCATTTCTGGGAATAAATGTTTGGCTTTTGCTTCCATTTTCTCTGTGTCTTTTAAAATACTATTGAAATAACTTTGTATGTACACAGAAAAGAATAGATATATGTTAGTAATGGGTTTGGGCTAAGACAATTGTGATAAATGGTTTAGCACTGCATAACATAAGGACTGTATATTTTGAGCTCTGGTGGCACGGTGCCTAAGACATTTGACTGCTAACCAGAAGGCTGGCAGTTCAAACCCACCAGCCCTCCTCGGAAGAAAGACCAGGCAGTCTACTTCCTTAGTGATACTGCCTTGGAAACCCAACGAGGGGTCACTATGAGTGGGATCCAACTCGACGGCAGTGAGTGAGTATAGGACTGACTACAGCATTGTGAGTTCCTAGGTGAATAAAGTAAGAACATCACCAAAGTATCCAGTCTTACAAATATGGCTTTTTGCTGCTGATAATTTTTTTTGTCTGCTGTATTGCAGCTGTTGAAAATGGACAGATAGATGTGTTAAAGCTGTTGCTTCAACACGGAGCAAATGTTAATGGACCCCATTGTATGAGTGGATGGAACGCCTTGCACCAGGCCTCTTTTCAGGTAATCTTTGAATTTATTATTTCATTTCCATGTAAATTGTGTGTTTTACCCTTTTAAAATGACATATCTATACAGTTTTTGCTTCCTACTTGCCTGTGATTTATGATGGTAGTCCAGTACAGAAAAGGCAGTCTAAATGCTAATGATGATTCTGAATAAACCTGCTGCTCTAGTGGCTACAGTGGGTTTGGGGCCGCAGGGATTATCTAAATTTTTCAAATGTTGATAGCATAGTTAAGGAACTATCAGAATACTTAGGGTATAAATTGATAAAGTGCAATGGCTTATTTTACTTATAACATTATGTTTAGAAACCATGATAGTTTTTTAGTACCTTGGTTATAGCAAGCTAATGTGGCAGGATTTATAAGGATTATAATTTGTAGAGGTCAGTGTTTCATCTGTTTATGATTAATGGGCCAACTAGAGCGATAGGATCATCTGATTGCTTGGCCACTGTCTTCCCATCCAATGCAACACCTTTTTTTTAAAGCATTTTTAGTAAGAAAGATAAAAGGGGGCTGGGGGAGTGGAGAAAAAAAACAGCCATAAGAGAAAAGATACCCTCTATTTTTTTTTTTTTTTAACTTTTTCAACTTTTTATTGTGGAAACTTTCAAACATACACAAAAGTAGGAACATTAGTATATAAAACTCCCATGTACCCATCAGCCAGTTTCAGTAATTTTCAACAGTTTGTCAGGATGACTTTTTTTTAAGCACCATCAGTACAAATACCCTGAATCCTTTTTTGCTTCCTAAACGCCTCAGCTATACAGAGCTTGATGTTTCTGTCTGAATTTCCCTCATCACAGACCTGTCTGCTTCACTAACATGATCACAGGCTTTACTCTAACCCCTCAAAGCTTATGACTTTGCTGACCAGTTTTTATATTTATATAGAGTAAAAACATAATCCACAGTCTTTTGTTGCTCACAGATGGTTTAATCCAGCCCCTTAAAGTGAAACAACACTACAACACTCACCTTCTACTTTCTTTGTTTTCTCTTAATGAAAATATGCATCTGTGTTTTAGGAAAATGCTGAGATCATAAAATTGCTTCTTAAGAAAGGAGCAAACAAGGAAAGCCAGGATGACTTTGGAATCACACCTTTATTTGTGGCTGCTCAGTATGGCAAGCTGGAAAGCTTGACTGTACTTATTGCATCTGGTAAGATTAATCCATTAACCTTTGTACTGTTAAGATCATGAGTTTTAACTTTGTATCTCCCTAGGAAGAATAATTCTTGACCAGATATAAATCAGGTTGTGAAATTTAATGGTTTTATGTAAGTGGTAAATAAGACTAAGTACAAGTTGATTTATCAGCTTGGTTACTAAGTGTCTATTACTAACATAATGCAATACACAGCTACTAATTTATTTGAGTAGGAACATAATGATCTATCTCTAAAGCAGGTTTATTGGCAAGTTGAATGATGGGGCCATCCTTTCTTATTGGGACCTGAACAGCTTCAGCTCTCTAGGGTACAAGACTATTTTAGGCTTAATTAATTTATTTGAAAGCTATTTTGTATATTAGGCCTTTGAGTTATATATTTTGATCAATTCTGTGTTTATTTCAAAGCATGTGTATACTTTATTATGTTAATAGCAACATAAAACTGTTACAGTTTCCTCCATGGCAACCATTACACATTTAGCATTGCTGGGGGAGATGGTGTTAAGGTGGCATTCTTATTCTGTGATATTTTTGTGAGCACAAGTGTTTGTTCTATAGGGACTTTTAAATTCTTCCCAAGCACTGTGTATACACTCATAATGCTTAACCTGACGAAGATGGATTGTTGAGAGAAGCAGGGGAATACTACCAGATTGCTGGTGGTGGTTTTATTTTTTGTTTTTAATTTTAGCTTTTTATAAGCTCCTCCAAATATATGAAATGAAGCTTATTTAGAGAGAAGGGCATATATTTTCTTATTTCTGCTTTCTCTTTACCAATCTTGTAATACTGAAGATGAAATAAGAACAAACAAACATTCATTAAGTGCCAGTTTAGGGTATCTGTTACAAATATTGAGTCTATAAATCTTGGAGTTGAGCAGAATCTCCAAAATTATTTATTCAAACATGTATTTTTTAGACTAACAATCCCAGGCCCTGAGAGTGTAAGGGCCTTGCCAGAGATCTGAAAACTATTCCTGATAGAATTAGGGTTTGGGCCCAGGCCTTTTGCCTTCTGCTCTTCCTCCTCCTACTGTGTTGTACGTTCCTGAGGACTGTCCTAATTTAATTTATGACTTTAGTCTCATAAGTTGTTAGCGTCTAACTAATATTTAGATTAAAATAGATTTAATTGCACCTTAAGGCTCTGTGCTAACGCTGAGTTTGTCTCCTCTTAGTTGAAACACTAAGTACTTGTTTTGCTTAGCTCTTTTTTGCTTTCTTTTCTCTTCTCTGAATAGTTATGAATAGTCAGTTTAAAAAGATACATTTATAATGTAACTGTATATCTTTCCAGCTCCTTAAAATGGTTTTCTTTTCAGTTAATTAGCCATCATTTTCCAGCCTTTTTGTCTGCAGTCTTAAACGGACTGGGTCCTTATTTTTTCTGACACTTTGAAATTATCAATCAAAATGAAGCTTTGATTAAAAACAAAGTTAAGCAGGTTTCTTTCTTGACTTAATCCTTTTTGGTGATGGTGTTTTCTCTTTTTTTCTGAGTCTGGCAGAAGATGAAGCATCTACCTAGATTAAATCAAGAAGGTTCTAGTTGTCTGGATATGTTGAATGTCCTTTTGGGATTTCTGAAGGTTCCATAGACTCTTAAACTTAACATTTGTATTTTGCATAATTTTGACCCATCTCAGGGCTTCAGTTTATTCACGGTGTATTTATGGGAATCTTTTATAATAAAAGTTAGTCTTTTTCTCCTTGATAATTATTTTTCCTCTGAGATATAGTCTAGAAAATTAAAAATTCCCCTGGTCATGTAACACAACCATACTTACCATATTTAGCACTTTATTTGCCACTGAGAAACATTTGGGGACATCTGCTATTTTCAAAACCTTCACAAAAGTTTGGGTCATTTTCAGCCTTTCAAATCTTCTTTACCTGGTGGTGTCTAAATAACTTCATTGGACTTAAGCTTTTTAAAATCAACTCTGAAACCTATTTAAATAGACCCTTTTATTATGGGCTTTATTTATCATGTAGTGGTCATGAAAGAAAGGGATGTCCTAAGCAATATAGTCAATACTAGTTTTAAGGCATAGCCAGCATGATATGTCATATTTCCTGGTGATTATTTTTACAAATCTTAGTTTGAAGTGATTAGTTGCAGCTATACAGTGTTATAATTTAGAATTCTTCTAATATTTTTCAGTAATTATAAAAAACTTTATTCATAGTTGATATTTTTCCTTTTTGAATAATTACTCATTTTCCCCAAAGAGTGCTTATTGGAGAAGGAATTAGAAAGAAATAAATCTTTCATTGAATAGGATTTTTGTTTTAGGTTGAAAATAAATTCTAAATTATTAGTCACTTGTTTTCTTGAAGACATAAAAGCAAAAGCAGTTTAAATGATTACCAACAAGTTAGCAAAATAAATGTTTATTCAGTAGTATCCATTGAGGGAGAGAGACTTTTGTACCATAAAGCCCTTTCTTTATATCACTGCTTTGAAATTTATGTTGATTATCATGGTGCTTTGCTTGCATAAATGAAGATTACCTGCTAAATGCTTTATTTTGTCTTTTGCCTTAGGTGCAAATGTCAATTGTCAAGCCTTGGACAAAGCTACTCCCTTGTTCATTGCTGCTCAAGAGGGCCACAGAGAATGTGTGGAGCTTTTGCTGTCCAGTGGGGCAGATCCTGATCTTTACTGTAATGAGGATAATTGGCAGTTACCTATTCATGCAGCTGCACAAATGGGCCATACAAAGTAAGTGTTAAAAACTGAAAATAAAAATGAACTCACAATTAAGAGCTAATAAGAAATATTCTGGGCCAGACCCATCACCTCCAAGTAGAAGTCTTAGGATTCCCTTCCCTACCAATTTACTGGGTGACTGATTCACCCCTAATCTGTCTCCTGTGCCATCCCCAGCTCCTCTTAGTCTCATACTTAGGTATGAGGTCGAGTAGCTGGCAGTTCAAACCCACCAGCCACTCCTCGGAAGGAAGGTTGGGCAGTCTACTTCTGAAGTGATACTGCCTCCGAAACCCAAGGAAGGGTTGCTATGAGTCGGGGCCGACTCGACGGCACATAACAACAACAACAGGGACTTTTTCAGAATTTTAAGGGTCTTCCCTCTGGTTTCTCCGGCAATGGCCATATAGTCTCTCCTTCCCAGTTTTATCCCAGGGATCTTTAGGCAGCAATCTGATGGTGTTCTTCACTTACTTACTTTGCCTTCCTGACCAGGGAAAGCTTTTGGGTTTGTAACCCCTGTTGGAGTCGAGTGTTTCTTTAGTGTGTCCTCATCTTGGACCTTTGGACAGGACTTTTCTATTTAGTCTTACATCCAACTCAGTCTGTTCCTCTGCCTCTATTAAGATTCTTTGTTAGCTAAAGGTTCCTATGAGATTATTGGTATTTTCTGGAGAGAGAGGGACTTAAGAAAAGTTGGGGCTTCCTGTAATTGGATGTTCTAGTATTGTTAGAAGGTGGTATGTTATTTCATGCTGTTAAGTCTGTTCCAATTCATGACTACCCCATGTGACAGAGTGGAACTGCCCCATAGGGTTTTCTAGGTTTCAGTCCTTATGGGACCAGATCTCCAGGTCTTTCTCCCACGAAACAGCTGGGTGGGTTTGAACCACCAACCTTTCAGTTAGCAGTTGAGCTCTTAATCATTTCTGCAACCAAGGCTCCCTTAGAAGAATTAACCCAGTCATATCTCTGATGAAGTAGCAATGAACAGTTTTTTTAAGATACATGTTTAAAATCTGTAAAGTCATAATTCTACAATAATTTTTATACCTACAAATAGTATTATTTAATTAAAAGAGTAATAGTATAACAGCCATTATTTAGCATGTTTGTTATTGTTGCTGTTGTTAAGTGCCATTGAGTTGATTTCAGCTCATAGCAACCCCATGGAACAGAGTAGAACTGCCCTATAGGGTTTTCTTGGCTGTAATTTTTACAGAAGCAGGTAGCCAGGTCTTTCTCTCGCCTGCAGAGTCTCTGGGTGGGTTCAAACCACCAACATTTCAGTTAGTAGTCAAGCACCTGATTATTTGTGCCACATCTGTCACATGGGGTCACTGTCCGTTGAAAAGTACTCCATAGCACATAACAACAAAACAGGATGTTTCGCGCAGTAGGAAAATAGATTCTGTAGTTTGGTCATTATGCCACTAGGTGGCACGTTATTTTACTGTTTCCTTAAAGATAATTGTAAGTTTGGGCCTTGTAGAATAGATGATTTTTCCAACCCATTTTAAAAAATTTTAAAAAACACATTTATTAAATTTAAGAGATAATAAGCAGACTATTTTAACAAAATATTTAGGTGTTTAAATTTGATATTTTTCTTATTTCTTGATCATTTATTTAAACATAAATCTTAAATATAATTTCTTTATAGCTCTCTGAGCTTTTAAATTGATACTAAAACCCTCTTTGGAATTTGACCTTAGTTGCCCTTAATTTTGAGAATTATGTTTGTCACTGATTATTTCCTTGATAGCTTATTTCTAAGGTATCCCCTTCTGTGAAAAAAAGTTCTCCTTAAATGTTATTATCTTAGACCTACCATACATAGAGTAGGCTGCAAAGAGAACGTTATAAAGGTACATTGGAGTAGCCCTGCCTATCTTTTCCAAGAAAGAAAGGGAATTTCCTGGTTACTTTAAAACGTTTGGTTGCCAACCAAAAAGTCTGCAGTTCAAACCCACCAGCTGCAATGTGGGAGAAAGATGAGGCAGTCTGCGTCCATAAAAATTACAATCTTGGAAACCCTATAGGTTCTACTCTGTCCTGTAGGGTCTCTGTGAGTCAGAATCAACTCAATGGTAACAGGTTTGTTTTTGTTTTGGTTACTCATACGGTTTTATTTTATTTTCAATTTTACATGAGTCATTTAAAGTTACAGGTAATATAAGAACTTAGGTTCTAATGATTTTCTTTAAAACTTTTTCTACTTAGCAACTCACTTCTTTAGAAATTGGTGCCAATATTTAAAGAGCTCATATTCTTTTCAGAGAATAGAATATTATGAGCAACATAAACAGAAATTGTGACGTCATCTTGATGAGAATAATATTCTTCATTTCATGTCATTCACTATCTTCAAAAATTCCTACTAATTAGAAAAATGAAACTTAGTTGGTACTTTAAGAAGGGAAATATTTTCTTGATGCAAATTTATATTGGCATTGTGTTCTGTGCAATGAAGTTTTTAATACTGTCAGTGTGAAGTTAAACAATTTGTCAAAAACTCTAAAGGAAAACATGTTATCTGTTTACTTACAGAAACATAATTCTCTTTCAGATATTTACAAAGAGCTAAATAAATACAAAGAACTTTGTATTAAGCAACAATAATAAGTGTAACATTTTGGGATAACTATGGAGCATATGAGAATTTTAAAATAATTTTAATGTAATTTGAGTATACTTCAGTATAAAGTATACTGAAGATAGAAAGAATTCTTAAGTTGACTTTTAAAATTCATGCTGTAGAAATGTTTGCCTATACTCATATACATATAAAAACATTAAATGCTTCTGAATTTATGTATTTGCAGAATCTTGGAATTGTTAATTCCATTTACTGACCGGGCCTGTGACACTGGGCCAGACAAAGTGAGCCCTGTTTACTCAGCAGTGTTTGGAGAACGTGAAGACTGCCTAGAAATACTACTTCAGAATGGCTACAGCCCAGATGCCCAGATGTGTCTAGTGTTTGGCTTCAATTCTCCCATGTGTATGGCTTTCCAAAAGGAGTATGTATATTTGCTGTATTTTCATTCCTTTGTGCCATATGGAGATGAGAGTGCCTGTGTGGTGCAGATGGCTAAGTTCTTGACTACCCAGAGGTACCTTAGAAGACAAAAACAAAAAAAAAAATCAAACTCACTGCCGTTGTATTGGTTCTGATTCATAGTGACCCCTCCTTGGGTTTCCTGGGTGGTGTTGCTATGAAAGTAGATTGTCCAGTCTTCCATCCAAGGAGTGGCTGGTGGGTTTGAACTACCAGCCTTCTGGTTAGCAGTCAAATGCCTTAGGCACTACGCCACCTTGGAAGATAGGCCTGGTGATTTGCTACCAAAAGATCACAGCCTTGAAAAGTTGGAGCATTTCTCTGTACACATGGGGTTACAATGAGCAGGAATTAACTCCATGGCAACCAACAACCACACCAAATAGGAAGATGTATTCTTAAGTGACTGTGGTAGTTAAGTTTGTGTGTCCTTGCCTGGGCCTGGCTGAGTGGCTGGGCAGCTAGATGTAGTATTGCCCATGATGAGAATGGTAATCAACTCCATGGTGGAATCTACTGTGAGTGGCTGAGTAGCTGCCTTAGAGATGTGGTCTGCTTCCTACATATAAGGAGAAGGCTTGGGGAACGGTGTTTAGCTTATGGCATGCTTGAACCCTGCATGTAGCTGTATTGTTGTTCAGCAGCCTACTATGCTCTGCCAACCTTGGGACTTTCAGCGAACTTGAGTAAATGGACTGCTGTGTGGTTTGGTAATATTGGGCCTGTACCTTTTCACTTGTCAACCTGGGGCTTATCAGCCTCAGCAGCCAGCAGCTGTCTGAGTGAAGAAAAACCTCTAGCTTCAGTGGGCTGGGAGCAGGAAGCAGAGCTGAGGCCCAAGGTCGAGGGGCTTTCACCCAGCCCCTAGAGCCTGGCACTTTGAACTTGGACTTAAAGCCTACAGACCATAAGAGAATAAACTCCTGTTTGTTCAAGCCATCCCATTTGTGGTATATTCTTATCAGAGCAGTATTAGGTAACCAGAACAGCATATGATACTGAGAGTGGAGTGCTGCTCTGACAGATACCTAAAATATGGAAATAGGAGTGGAATGCATACTTGACCTGAGACCTCAGAGGAGAGACCCTGGCATACAGCATGAGAGATGGCAGGAGCAGAGCCAAGAGACTGGCATGAGAAATGACAGAAGCAGAGCAGAGAGACCAACAAGACAGATGACAGTAGCAGAGCCCAGAGACTGGGATGAGACAGCGACAGCCTTACCAGCCCACGGAGGAGAAAGCTAGATGTCACTGGGTAGGCGGCTTCCTGGTGGAGTGGGTTGCCTTCGGGTGTTAATTGGTAGAAGAGACCGGCATGAAATGGAGTAGCAGATTGGTCAGCCCATGGAGCAAGAAAGCTGAGTGCTTTTTGGGTAGGAAGATTTCTGGAAGAGTGGGTTGCTTCAGCATTAATTAGTAGAACTGGAGAGACCCCAAGGAAACAGGAAGCAGAACTGCCTGTGCCTCAAAGGGTAGGACGATGGCCTTTGGGGGTGGAACCACCACAGGCCCCTAGGTTTCAAAGAGCCAGACCTTCACCAACTTGGTTCTGGAGTGTGGGGATGCTCATTTATGTGAGCCAATGGGATGGCGCCATAGCCACTGCCCAAGAGCGAGGGAGCTGAACTGCCATGCCCAAGAGGGAGAGGAACAGGGCCCGCCAGGCCAAGGGGGTGAGGTCACCACTTAGGAACTAGGGGACTGGAGCCACCCAGTGAAGGAGATCCATACAAATGCCACCCAATGAAGATCTGTACAGGTGCCAAGTTGACAAGGACTGGAATTGTGGCAGTTCAGTTTGTGTGTCAACTTGGCTGGGCCTGGTTGAGTGGCTGGGCAGCTGGATGTAATATTCCACATGATGAGACCAGTAATCAACTCCGTGGTGGAATCTACTGTGAGCAGCTGAGTAGCTGCCTTAGAGATGTGGTCTGCTTCCTGTATATAAGGAGAAGCCTTGGGGAACAGTCTCTAGCTTATGGCATGCTTGAGTCCCGCATATAGCCATGTCGTTGTTCAGCAGCTTGCCATGCTCTGCTGACCTTGGGACTTTTGATGGACTTGAATAAATGGCCTGCAATATGGTTTGGTAACATTGGGACTGTGACTTTTTACTTGTCAGCCTGGGGCTTGTCAGTCTCAGCAGCCAGCAGCTGTCTGAGTGAAGAAATGCCTCTAGCTTCAGTGGGCCAGAAGCAGGAGGTAGAACTGAAGCCAAGGTCGAGGGACTTTCACCCAGCCCCTAGAGCCTGGCACTTTGAACTTGTACTTAAAACCTCTAGACTGTAAGAGAATAAACTCGTTTGTTCAAGCCATCCCATTTGTGGTAATTTCTTGTCAGAGGGGTTCTGTTGTTGTTGTTGTTGTTGTTGTTATGTGCCGTCAAGTCGGATTCAACTCATAGCGACCCCTCCTTGGGTTTCCGAGGCAGTATCACTATGGAAGTAGATTGCCCCATCTTCCTTCTGAGGAGTGGCTGGTGGGTTTGAACCGCCAGCCTTCTGGTTAGCAGTCAACTGCCTTAGCCACTGTGCTACCAGAGCTCCCAGAGGGGTACTAGGTAACCGAAACAGTGACTTTTCATGGTGAAACTAAGTATCTTTGTCGGTGCTAAATTATTAACTTAAAAACAGAAAATAGACAAATAGAAAAACCTCCATGTCTGTCTTGTTCAGTAAAGCTGTAGAAAATGAGGTGGTAGTATCAGATTTTCTTCCCTTCCCTTTTTGGATCTGGATTACATTTTTAGTATAGTAATTTTAGGGAATGCTTTCAGTGTGTTAAAGTAAATGTGGAAATTTTGTGATATCTTTGGTTATCGGAACAATTTAAGAATAAAAAATAGCACTTCATTCAGTAAGGGTGACTGCATTTTAGGCTATTATTTATCACTTGAAATTTATATTTATACCGGCCTAGAATAACACTTTAGGAGTTCTGGTAGCATAGTGCCTAAGGCACTTGACTACTAACCAGAAGGCTGGTGTGGTGGTTCAAACCCACCAGCCACTAGGAGGAAGGAAGATGGGGCAATCTACTTCTGTAGTGATACCGCCTCGGAAACCGAGGGAGGGGTTGCCATGAGTTGGGGCTGACTCGACGGCACATAACAACAACAACAGAATAACACTTTAGTATTGTACATATTGGGAGCTCTGGTGAGGTAGTGCTTAAGGCATTTGACTGCTAACCAGAAGGCTTGTGGTTCAAACTCACCAGCTACTCCTTGGAAGGAAGGTTGGGCAATCTACTTCTGTAGATATACTGCCTCAGAAACCCAAGGAGGGGTTGTTATGAGTCAAATCGACTCGACAGCAGTGAGGTTTTTTTTTCTCTCAATTGTAGATATTATTGCATTTCTAATGTATTTGGTATGTAGAATTTTAATACATTTGATGTATGTGAGTCAAAGTAATTAAGTTTAAAAAAAGCTCTGAAATATTTGTTTTATCAATTGACCGTGATCCCATGAGGTAAAAATGAATGACATGACAATTTACGGCTGCTTTACTAGTTTCTGGCCAATAATTAGTCTCTAATGACAGAACTTTGCTTGCTGAAAGTGAGGATGACTTGAAGCACTTACTGATGAAGATTAAAGACTATAGTATGCAGTAAGTATGGATTACATCTCAACATAAAGAAAATGAAAATCCTCACAACTGGACCGATAAGCAGCATCACAATAAATGGAGAAATGATTGAAGTTGTTAAAGATTTTATATTACTTGATTCCACAATCAACACCAATGGAAGCAGTAGCCAAGACATCAGACGACATACTACACTGGGCAAATGTGCTGCGAAAGACCTCTTTCAATAGCTGAAGAGCAAAGATGTCTCCTTGAAGACTAAGGTGCGCCTAACCCAGGCCATGGTGTTTTCAATCGTCTCAAATGCTGAGAGCTGGTTGAATAAGGAAGACCAAAAAAGAGTTGATGCTTTTGAGTTGTGGTATTGGCAAAGAATACTGAAAGTACCATGAATTGCTAAAAGAACTAACAAATCTGTCGTGGAAGAAGTGCAGCCAGAATGTTCCTTGGAAGCGAGAATGACCAGACTTCATCTCATCTACTTTGGTCATGTTGTCAGAAGGGACCATTCCCTGCAGAGGGATATCATGCTTGGTAAAGTGGAGGGTCAAAGAAAAAGGGAAGGCCCTCAATGAGATGGATTGACACAGTGGCTGTCAATCAGTGTAACGATGGGCTCAGGTATAGCAAGGATCATGAGGCTGGGCAGTGTTTCATTCTGTTGGACATAGGATCGCTATGAGTTGGAGCTGACTCAACAGCATGTAACAATAGTAACAACAAGATCCTGTCATGGCTTGAATTGTGTCCCCTAATTTGAGCTGGGCCATGATTCTCAGTGGTTTGACAGTGATGTAATTATGTAATTTGGCACTTATCTAATGATGTAATTATCCGCTATCATGTGATTTGATGTGATCCATCCATCAGTTGTGAAGGAATTAGGGTGGGATACAATACCCTTACTTAGGTCACAGCCCAGATCTGATGTAAGGGTACTATTTCTGGGATGTGGCGTACATTTCCTTTTATTTCATAAGAGGTAAAAGAGGAGAGAAGTGAGCAGAGAAGGAAGGACCTCCTACCATTAAGAAAGAGGAGGTGGGAGTGGAGCTCATCCTTTGGACCCAGAGTCCTTGTGCTGAGAACCTCTTAGACCCAGGGAAAGATTGATGCTAAGACACATGAAGATTGCACAGGAGCATTCTAGAAGCTAAAAGACACAAAGACCTTTCTTCAGAGCCAACAGAAAAAGAAAATCTTACTCTAGAAATAGCATCCTGAATTTGGGCTTCTGGCTTCCTAATTTTTGGTTACCTGGTGCCTCTCTAATAGGAATACCACAAATGGGATGGCTTGAACAAACAGGAGTTTATTCTCTTATGGTTTTGGAGACTAGAAGTCCCAAGTTCAAAGTGCCAGGCTC